AATTGGTAAGAAATATAAGAATATCGCCAAGCGTTTTTTAACCAGGGAACCACTGCAATCGCCAGCATTTATACTAAGTGACATATAAATCCGAACACCCAGTTTAAATGGTTTTATTTTAATAAAAGTTGGTGAATGTATTTATCTTACTGTAAATAACAAGTGAAAAAATTTTCAGCCTTATCAGTTGGACATTCCGGTTTTTATACTGCTTTTTTTTAATTCACTAACGCTCTAAACATGAATATTTCAGCCGCAGTAAAGAATCAACGTTGGCGGATTTTGGTTCTTGACATCCTTTACGATCGGTTACGATGCCTAGAGTACGGAGACCTGTACGATTTCGTCAACTTAGTGAGTTTGATAGGGGCCGTATAGTGGGACTTCGGGAAGCTGGACTTTCTTTTCGGGCAATTGCAGTTGGAGTGCAAAGAAGTCTAGGTGTTGTCAGGCATGGCTTCGAGAAGGCCGTACGCAAAGAGCAAGGGGCACTGGACGCCGCCGTAGAACAACAGACCGTGAAGATCGCCGCCTAAGATTATTGGCCTTAAGGGACCGTTTCTCCACTACCAGGTCCATTGCAAATGAATGGTTTGCAGAACACGGAAGACCTATTGGCATGCGAAGTGTTTACCGACGAATGAGAAGTTTTGGCTTGTTTTCATACCGGCCACACTGGGTCCTCCCTTTAACTCGAGAACACCGACGTAATCGCCTTGAGTGGTGCAGACAACGGTCACTCTGGGATCAGGAATGGAACAGTATTGTCTTTAGTGACGAGTCTCGATTTTGTTTAGGCATGCACGATGGTCGTGCCAGGGTTAGAAGGCGACGTGGTGAAAGGAGGAATCCACAGTTTTTTGTTGAAAGACATGTTCATCACACTGTTGGAGTTATGGTTTGGGGTGCTATAGCTTATGGTTCCAGGCCACCTTTAATTTTCATCAGAGGTAACATGAACGCGCAGCGTTACATCCACGAAGTTCTAGAACCCCATCTTTTACCCTATCTTGACACCCTGGCAGATCCAACTTGCCAACAACATAATGCCCGACCACATGTTGCAAGAGTCACAATAGACTTCTTTCAACATAATGATGTCACATTGTTACCATGGCCACCAAGATCTCCCGACTTATCCCCAATTGAGCACGTGTGGGATATGATGGGTAGGAGATTGCTCAATTTGCAACGTCCTCATCAGACTCTAGAAGCACTTCGAGAGGAGTTGGTGGTTGCCTGGAATTAGATACCACAGGAGGACATTGACCACCTGATCAGAAGCATGCCTAGGCGCGTTGGAGAATGCGTAGCACATCAGGGTGCATCCACACATTATTAAAGGTCAAAGGGCTTTAAAGCAGTGCAATCATTTTGAAATTTTATCATTTACTTATTATGCTATGCAAAATTTTATTAAAATAAAACCATTTAAACTGGGTGTTCGGATTTATATGTCACTTAGTATATGTGCTCCATTGATATACTTTTTCTCGATTTTGGGTCGCGGAAACCGAATCCGAAGCTTTTCTGAATCCTTTGATCCCGTTTGCGATGTAGCTATATCCCATAGTAGGGTTAAAAAATACCGTATACCTTGAACGATTGCGTCATATAAACTCTACAGCATACACAAAACTGTTTATTACTTTGAGAAGGAAAACTCACCACAAAAAGCATTATTCCGTAGACATAGAAGTACCGCGTATTCTTGAAATAAGACGATTTAACTCGATGCAAAAATATATCCGTTAGATGTCATCAAAGTCATCCTTCTTTTCAGATATTTTTGTAACCGATTTGAATGAAGATTGGAACATGTCCTAATACAAATATACTAAGTGACATATAAATCCGAACACCCAGTTTAAATGGTTTTATTTTAATAAAATTTTGTATAAGTACTTAATGAAGCATAATAAGTAAATGATAAAAATTTCAAAATGATTGCACTGCTTTAAAGCCCTTTGACCTTGAATAATTTGTGGATGCACCCTGATGTGCTACGCATTCTCCAACGCGCCTAGGCATCCTTCTGATCAGGTGGTCAATGTCCTCCTGTGGTATCTCATTCCAGGCAACCTCCAACTCCTCTCGAAGTGCTTCTAGAGTCTGAGGAGGACGTTTCAAATTGAGCAATCTCCTACCCATCATATCCCACACGTGCTCAATTGGGGATAAGTCGGGAGATCTTGGTGGCCATGGTAACAATGTGACATCATTATGTTGAAAGAAGTCTATTGTGACTCTTGCAGCATGTGGTCGGGCATTATCTTGTTGGAAAGTTGGATCTGCCAGGGTGTCAAGATAGGGTAAAAGATGGGGTTCTAGAAATTCGTGGATATAACGCTGCGCGTTCATGTTGCCTCTGATGAAGATTAAAGGTGACCTGGAACCATAAGCTATAGCACCCCAAACCATAACTCCAACAGTGTGATGAACATGTCTTTCAACAAAAAACTGTGGATTCCTCCTTTCACCACGACGCCTTCTAACCCTGGCACGACCATCGTGCATGCCTAAACAAAATCGAGACTCGTCACTAAAAACAATACTGTTCCATTCCTGATCCCAGAGTGACCGTTGTCCGCACCACTCAAGGCGATTACGGCGGCGTTCTCGAGTTAAGGGAGGACCCAGTGTGGCCGGTATGAAAACAAGCCAAAACTTCTCATTCGTCGGTAAACACTTCGCATGCCAATAGGTCTTCCGTGTTCTGCAAACCATTCATTTGCAATGGACCTGGTAGTGGAGAAACGGTCCCTTAAGGCAAATAATCTTAGGCGGCGATCTTCACGGTCTGTTGTTCTACGGCGGCGTCCAGTGCCCCTTGCTCTTTGCGTACGGCCTTCTCGAAGCCATGCCTGACAACACCTAACCACAGTGTCTACACTCCTTTGCACTCTAACTGCAATTGCCCGGAAAGAAAGTCCAGCTTCCCGAAGTCCCGCTATACGACCCCTATCAAACTCACTAAGTTGACGAAATCGTACAGGTCTCCGTACTCTAGGCATCGTAACCGATCGTAAAGGATGTCAAGAACCAAAATCCGCCAACGTTGATTCTTTACTGCGGCTGAAATATTCATTTTTAGAGCGTTAGTGAATTAAAAAAAAGCAGTATAAAAACCGGAATGTCCAACTGATAAGACTAAAAATTTTTTCACTTGTTATTTACAGTAAGATAAATACATTCACCAACGTTTATTAAAATAAAACCATTTAAACTGGGTGTTCGGATTTATATGTCACTTAGTATATATAGGGTGGAAACTACTCCCACCCCTACATAAATTATATTAGATTTTTTTGTCAACTTTCCCGACAAGACTGATTTTTTCTGTTTCAGATCTTTTTGTTTACTCCATTTTTTGTCTGTTATAAAAGCAGGTCATCAGAGAGAAAGAAATTGCAACGAGAGATTCGCGAGCGTCTTATTAATTTTTTAAGTGCAGTTGATGATATTACAATTTTATTCAATACAGGCAATAGTGCGAAACTTTCATGAAAGTTTTTCGATATGGCCACCATTTTCGTTCCTGCATTTAACAATATGGCGCAAAAAAAATATAACACCAAGAACATTTTTTTGAAACCAGCTGAGAAAAACGTTTTTTTTCCTCGAAAACTATGCGGGATGGCCTGTTTTATTCAATAAAAAAAATCTTTTATATAAAAAAAATCAGAGTAGTTGCGAAAAAATTCTGCTACAATTTATGTATGGGTGGGGGTAGTTTTCTTCCTTTTAGGACAGTTTTGATTTTTTGGTAAAAGTCAAATATTAGGATGTCTAGAAAAACCAAATTTAATTCAAATCGGATTATCGATTTCAAAAAATATGTCTTTATAAGAAAACTTTGACGCTAACGGAAAACTAAGCTCTTTTGCTTAGAGGTAAATCATGTCTAAACGACTTATTTTGAGACGAAAAATACGTTGTATTTCAATGTCCAATGGATTTTAGAACACCTATTACTTTCAAATCATAGAAAAGGATTCTGATAAACATTTCCGCATGGAAAATAAGTATGTATTGTTTCTTTCTATCAAGTATGGTATAATAAATGGTTCTGACAGTTTTTGGTCGCAAAATGATTTCATACAAAAAAATCCTCAACAGGACCTCAAGAGAGTCTCCATTTCTGGCTTAAGTAGATTTTTCTTTCGGCGAGATGTAAAGAGCTTTCAATTTCGCCAGATGGAGCGATTTGTTTGGTTTCAGTTTGGACTTTGCTTCAATTTATATTTCAACTGCAATGTGGTTCTCTAGTGTGTCACTTGTCTGGTGTGCCAAACAAAACCTTAGACTATGTGGGTCTGTTTGGCTGACTAGATCCATTTGATGCCTTGAATATACGAGGGGGTACCAAAGGAAAACGGAATTATTTTTGGAAAGCTATTTATTTTCAACTTTTTCACAAAGTAGCCTTATCGTCCACTACAACCAATACACTTGTCCCACCGGTGTTTCCACTGCTCGAAACATTTTTTGAAGTCTCCCTTAGAAATGTCTGTCCGCTCCTCCCCCATTTTTTTTCTTGACGTCTTCAATGTCATCAAGCCATGCCATGTTTGGCCAACAGAGATAGCTGTGTGCGCAGGTGCATTATCGTGGTGGAAGAACCAGTCTCCTGACAAATCGGGTCTTTTTTGCTGTTTCGCAATAGTCATAAAGCCTCCAAATAAAAGGTCTGGTTGACAGTGCGACCTGGGAAACAAACTCGGAATGGACCACGCCTTTGACATCAGAAGTACAAATCGGACTTTTTGATGTTTGATTTGATTTGACGACATCTTTTTGAACGGGGTGACGATGGCGTCTTCTATCGTTTGTTGCTTCGTTTCTGGGTCATAACCGTAGCACCAAGTCTCATCACCACTGATGATCTTAGACAGAAAATTTGGATTAAATTCAAGACACATGTTCTTAGTTTTCCTTACGAACTGATAACAATGTTGCGTTACTCGATGCCACTTTTTACATCTAAAATTATCTTTCAGTGTATGACCCACTCCTGGTACCTGCCGTGCGATTTCCACTACTTCATCATCGCCGTAGCAGTGTGCCTGATCATCAACAAGGAACGCAAAGTAGGCCTCGGCACGCTGCTGATCCTGACCATCGTTTCCATGGTGATCCCATTCGCTTTGACCATCATCTACCAACGACCCGGATTGATGCACTTTTATCCGGAGTTCCTGACCGGACCGAAGACGTATATTGACTTCAAGCTGACTTACAGCAAGTCGCATACGAGAGCTACCCCGTACTTCGTGGGAATGTTCGCCGGGTACATTTATTATAAGCTGAAGGGGACCAATGCTCACGTTTGCTGGGTAAGTTTGGGAAAAAAACCGGAAAAAATCGTAGCTTATAACTTTGAACATAACCTGTCTTCAGAAAGGACAACATAGCTAATATACATATGCAGAGCAATATACATAATCATCCAGATGCGGTCTTGATACTCGACCAACTTTCTTTCACATATTCTCAGAGTTAAACACTTCTTGGCATTCTGCAACCGACAATGCAAGCTTGAGCGTGTGTTGTCGTTGAGACATTCCTCCATAGATGGACGCTTTTGATGACGCCGATAGCGATCATAGCGAGCGAACGTGGAATGAACTATTTGCACAGCTGCCTAGTCTGCAAGACGGTTTTTTGACGTTTTTTATTTTTCTGCGTTGTATATATTCATATTTAATTAACAGGATTACATATAAAATACATACAAAATAATTTACTCATCGGCAACTCATTCATATACCAAATACATTCTTATTCGTAAACATCGGCATAAAGTATAAGTATAATGAAAATTATGACACTAATATGACTAGTTTAAATATTGAATACCTATGTTAATTAAAAATGCGCCATCAAAAGTTATGTGGAATAAAACAATACAGGGTGGCGTATCGAAAACGAAACAGACGCATTTACTAGCAGCTCAGTTTTTTTTTGGAAAAACGCTCAGACCCGTCGATTTTGTTTTCGAGGGGGACACAAGTTTGCCAAATAATCACGCTGGCACGTGCAGCCCCCTAAGCGGGGGTGACACCACCCCCAAAATCTTAAATGGAAAGGGGGGTCGAGTGATACCTTATTTTAAAGGTCTTTCAATTCCCTTTATAATGATATAAAATTAATGTACTTCAGTTCAGTAGTTTTGAAGATTTATTGATTTAAAGCTTAAATAAAACTAATACATCATCATTAGTGGAGATCAATACATTTGGAAGCAAAGTAATTTAAAAATGAAGAATGAACTGAACCGTTAGGCAAGTAAATGTTGAAAATGGCCACCATGACTCTCATGACGTTGGCTGAGTTGCATAGATTTTGCTTTTTAAATGACCCGACATAAAGAAAACCAAAGGTGATAAATCTGGTGATCTTGGGGGCCATGCAATGGCACCTCTTCTACCAATCCATCGATCTGGAAACGTCTGATCTAAATATTGTCGAACACACCTTTAAAATAAGGCCAAAGTTGTGTCCCCCTCGAAAACAAAATCGACGGATCTGAGCGTTTTCCAAAAAAAAAAACTGAGCTGCCGGTAAATGCGTCTGTTTCGTTTTCGATGCGCCACCCTGTATACTTAGTAACGCTCAGGTTTCTGTTTTTCTTCTTTCTTAGATATCTGAAAAATCCGTTGGTCGAGTACTTTGTTTTATTTATTTGAAGGTATCTATGGACCTAAGTTATAATCAGCTTTTTCATGTTGCAGAGGAAGTCACTGATGATCATAGGAGCATCATTGTCAGTCATGTTGATCTCCGTATTCAGTGCAAAGGTCTTTTACGATCCATACCACCCCTACAACTCTATCGAAGCAGCTAGCTACGCAGGACTTCATAGGTAATCTAATCATACTGAAAAAAGGCTTTACCAACGTTTTGGCTGCATCCATAGCAGTAAAACCCGTGCACTCAGCAATTCGGTGTTTAATATATAAAAAATCGTCGTGATATAAATGCTGAGAGGTACTGTGAATCATTACTTAAACTTAGGCCTGCTTTCTAGCGGCGTCATTCTGATTCACGGCAACGCTCGGCATAACGTTGCGGCAAGAATAGAGATACAGGTTTGTTGATAATTACTGGATCATCCACCATACAGTCCGGATTTAGTACCATCAGACTTTCATATTTTTCCAAAACTTGGAGAATTCCTCAGTAGAAAGCGCTTTGAAAATGATGACATGTTGGAAGAGACGTTTACTGACTGGTTTAATGCTCAGGAGACAAATGCTTAAATGTTTATGGTCACCATGAAAAAATGTTCATATTTCAGTTTGTGTTACGATTTACGTTCATAAAGTTTCTCTGTCTCCATTAAAATATGTTTTTCACTTAAGAAATGGTTATTTTGCATACGTAACTTCTTACAGGGTGTATCTCCGCCACTGGTGCTTTAAGTAAATACCATTGAATGTGGATAATACTTAGGTTCATCCACATACCAAATTTTAGTTCATTCTATTCGACGGTTCTGAAGATATTATTTATTTTTATTTTTAAACTTCAGCAGCCCCGTATATTTTCAATGGAGCCCTCCAAGAAAAAATGTTACATAGAAGACCCCCCTCAAAATGCGGTCATGTGTATGATGTTTCATTTTTGGTCACGACTTGTGAATCTCCCTGTATACTTGTCACTCTGCGTTATCTTGGTATATGCGTAACTACAGCATTTTTTATTCCAGGGATTAATTAATTTTTGTAAATTTTAGGTTAGCTTGGGCAGTTGGAAGCGTAGGACTGCTCTATGTAGCCAGCTTTGGACATGCGAGTTTCTTCAGGAAAGTACTATCATGGCACCCATGGATACCACTCAGTAAACTGGTTTATGGCGCGTATTTGATCCACATGTCTTTCCAGCTCAGGTCTGCTGCTAAATTCATGAATCCCAGGCATCTAACATACTTCGACGTGGTAAGAATTCTTCACATAATGGATTTGTACTATTTCTGTTCTTAACGGAAGAATAAACAACCCAGATTGGTATCACATTGTACATGAAAGAGAACTCTGACATTAGAATACACGTTGTTACCGTTTCATATGGTTACTGCAGTAACAGTCGCGATCTGTACCTGGTGTTCTCAGAGCTAAACTAGGTAAAGTCCGTTTATACCTAAGGTGAGTCTTAGACGAGGTTTGTCTGAAAAATAAGGTAACCAACGCTGTATCTTTGCCGCCCGTGATGCTAGTCGAAATTTGGCAACACTGTCGTGTTTGTGGGCTCTCCCGCCAGCGATCCCAACAAGAACCGCCTATTTGCGATGCTCAGTACCGACGATACCACCATTCGAAAACGATTATCCATATGTTCGGTATTTGTTTTTAATAAGCTTCATATTTGAAAAAGGTTGAACTAAATAACGCTTTCACTTTCAAGGCAACGCCACATAACTGAATATTTTTTTACTTACTGAAGGCCAGATACATTTTGTGTTTGAGACTAATGATTTTAAAGCTAAATCACTTTTTGTGTGAAAGAAGTTGCAAACGTGAAGGGTGAAACAACAAATTGCGCCACTATAGCAATTTCGTTGAAAGACTTGAAGGTTATTCTTCAAGTTAGAGACTATTTCTACATGGTATTTACTGTCACATGGTTCCAATGGACTTTGAGATATCTTTTCTCAAAGAACAGGGAAATGCCTCTACTTTTGTTCCCAAAGCGCGAGCTTTTTGATAAACGATTTTATATCAGAAATCAATTCTGCTAGTTGTTTGTATATCCCCTGAAGCTGCAAATTAAGTTATACTAAGTGACATATAAATCCGAACACCCAGTTTAAATGGTTTTATTTTAATAAAATTTTGTATAAGTACTTAATGAAGCATAATAAGTAAATGATAAAAATTTCAAAATGATTGCACTGCTTTAAAGCCCTTTGACCTTTAATAATGTGTGGATGCACCCCGATGTGCTACGCATTCTCCAACGCGCCTAGGCATGCTTCTGATCAGGTGGTCAATGTCCTCCTGTGGTATCTCATTCCAGGAAACCACCAACTCGTCTCGAAGTGCTTCTAGAGTCTGAGGAGGACGTTGCAAATTGAGCAATCTCCTACCCATCATATCCCACACGTGCTCAATTGGGGATAAGTCGGGAGATCTTGGTGGCCATGGTAACAAAGTGACATCATTATGTTGAAAGAAGTCTATTGTGACTCTTGCAACATGTGGTCGGGCATTATCTTGTTGGAAAGTTGGATCTGCCAGGGTGTCAAGATAGGGTAAAAGATGGGGTTCTAGAACTTCGTGAATATAACGCTGCGCGTTCATGTTACCTCTGATGAAGATTAAAGGTGACCTGGAACCATAAGCTATAGCACCCCAAACCATAACTCCAACAGTGTGATGAACATGTCTTTCAACAAAAAACTGTGGATTCCTCCTTTCACCACGTCACCTTCTAACCCTGGCACGACCATCGTGCATGCCTAAACAAAATCGAGACTCGTCACTAAAGACAATACTGTTCCATTCGTGATCCCAGAGTGACCGTTGTCTGCACCACTCAAGGCGATTACGTCGGGGTTCTCGAGTTAAAGGAGGACCCAGTGTGGCCGGTATGAAAACAAGCCAAAACTTCTCATTCGTCGGTAAACACTTCGCATGCCAATAGGTCTTCCGTGTTCTGCAAACCATTCATTTGTAATGGACCTGGTAGTGGAGAAACGGTCCCTTAAGGCCAATAATCTTAGGCGGCGATCTTCACGGTCTGTTGTTCTACGGCGGCGTCCAGTGCCCCTTGCTCTTTGCGTACGGCCTTCTCGAAGCCATGCCTGACAACACCTAACCACAGTGTCTACACTTCTTTGCACTTTAACTGCAATTGCCCGAAAAGAAAGTCCAGCTTCCCGAAGTCCCACTATACGGCCCCTATCAAACTCACTAAGTTGACGAAATCGTACAGGTCTCCGTACTCTAGGCGTCGTAACCGATCGTAAAGGATGTCAAGAACCAAAATCCGCCAACGTTGATTCTTTACTGCGGCTGAAATATTCATTTTTAGAGCGTCAGTGAATTAAAAAAAGCAGTATAAAAACCGGAATGTCCAACTGATAAAGCTGAACATTTTTTCACTTGTTATTTACAGTAAGATAAGTACATTCACCAACTTTTATTAAAATAAAACCATTTAAACTGGGTGTTCGGATTTATATGTCACTTAGTATATTATTTTTACACCTTGTTAAAATATGTTGAGAGCCACCAGAATTGCCTTTGCGAGCTGTACTACAGCTAATATTTTTTTTGCAGATAAGCCTCTCGTTGTCAGATATGGTGCTGGCCTTCTCGTCGGCCCTGGGCCTCTTTTTGACGATAGAAGCGCCGTTCAGGAAGATCTTCAAAGAGCTCTTGATGACTCCGAAAGAGAAAGACGGCAAATCCACGACAGGAAGAATGCATTCCGGAGATAACATGATCAACAACAACAACACCAGTGTTAACAATAATCACGAAGATAGTCGGTTGTGAATTTGTGGTTGTTAATTTTTTTCGCCAAAAACAGTGTCAAATAAGTAAGACTTTCATCACCGCGTCTGGATCGGGCTCCTTTAATGAGTCTTGAATCTGATAATCTCATCAAGAGGTGTTTCCTTGGATACATTTAAGAAGCAAACTGCAATACAGGTACTGCATATAAACAAGGTTACGGTTACGATTGGCTTTGAACATACAGGGTGTTAAGCCTTTTCTGAAAAAGGATTGTAATCAACCTTCAACCGATTTTGATATAATTTTGCAGCAGCAGGATGGTTTACCGAAATTTTAACTGAAATCGTTTAAAAAAGCGCTTTATTTGTTGATACCATAAATTAACATTATCATTTAGATCGCTGGAATTACATGTAGTTGAATGAAGATGAGTTTAAACACTAAAAAAATCAATAACGACCTCAGGAACGACTTAATCGCGTTCAACGCGTTCATCTGAAAATTGAAATCATGCTCAGGAAGATTCTGCAAAATTGCTATCTTGTAAGGATGGAAAAGAAGATCATCGTGAAGAATCCTCCTCATAGAAAGATCGGAAAGTCGAACGACAGACGCATGTTTGCGCGCAGAACAACATTGAATCTGTCACTGAATCAGTATTTTCAGGTGATTTTACGGGGGACTCCAGTTCTTGACGTGTCACAATTGGCGATGTATTTTATTAGAACTCCGTATAAAAGCGCATTTTAACATCTCTAGATTAAAACTGCTCTGTTATGATAGCAAAATGACTGTGAGTTGAAATGTTATTCTTCGACGGCTATTTCTAAACTGGTGCTTTGCAACAAGGAAAATTTTACCCAGAATCAAATCTCGATATTTTCGGATCGGAAAGAGATATCGAGTTTAGGTGTTCGGGAGGCTCAAGACCAACTCTTTGAGAATACATGTAGAGTTCGACCATGAAATTCATTCTACTTATCCATTTATACAGGGTGAGAAAACAAAGTCAGTCAGTCAGTTCTTTTTAGCAAAGTTTGAGGCTATGTCAGATTCTCAATTTTTCATGTTGGTCATTTTTCTATGCATCTTTTTGATCTTTGGACTATACTAAAAAAAAGTGATTTCAAATTTTTTTCGAAAGTTGGCTATAACTCGAATTTTAAAGGAGTGTTACATTTATCCCTAAAAAGGTACTTTTGGGGTTTCTCTTGGGAATGGGTGTCTATCCTACTGGCTGCGCCAGTTATGTTGCCGAAATGACCGTTCGGGTTTAAAAAAAAATTATTTTTACTTTACAAGACTGACTACAGTATAACTTGAAATATTTTACAATGGATAAAATGTACAATACGACGAACAAACGAGGAATCTGCGGAAAGCATGAAGAACCTCTATTTATCAACTCGGGCTTGGATGCTTTCTTCAGCATTTTCTTCTTCCACGTGCATCCTTTTCTGCATCATAACTTACATAAAAATGTTAACCAACTGCGCTAGAAAATTGATGAAGCAGAAATAAAAGTTATGGAAAACGCAAATTTATTTCAAAGATTAAAGGACAATTTTATTAGGTGTCGCTTGTATATAGAAAATAATGGAGGTCATTTCGAACATGTAGGTGGTAAGGATTCTATTGCGTTTCTTGCCAACGTGACATGATACACTCATCGTAGCAAAATGAAATTTTCAGGGTTTATTCTACAAGGATTTAAATTGATTTTAAAATATAATGGATAATGAAATTCAACCTCAATTTTTTTTACCGCTCTCCAAAGTTGAGGGTGGAAGCGATTTTTCACAAAAAAAATTAATTTAAGATTTTTTGCGTTGATTTCTAATAAGCTCTGTTGAAAAGTGAGATAACCATAACCTAAAACTAACCATTTAGCTCATCTTGGAAAACAAATCACAGCTCTAAACCTAATGGCTTAGTTGTAATTGCGATTGAAAGTTCATTCTCCCGTTTTTTCAAAATTGCAAATATACTAACTATAAAATTTCGGATCACACATATACGGGTCCATTCGCTATGACATCCGTTGATCTACTACTAACTTTACACCCTGTCGATAAATAAAATAAATATACAGATCGAACCGTGAATGTGTTCTCAAAGAGTTGGTCAAGAACCTCTAGAGTACCGTTCCGAAAATATCGAGATTTGAATTTAGGTAAAATTTTCTATGTTGCAAAACAAACTAACTGGCCACCAGTTTAGCTTCAGGGGCAGCCTAGCATTTATTATTCGATAATGTTGCAAGCTTTGGGGATGTACATCATAAATTTTATTACCCGAGCATATTTTTCAAATTGTGCAGAAGTACACTGTGATTTTTTACAAGGTCAAGGTCTTACTATAAATTGTAGCTGCTTAGTTGTATTATATGCTTCAATCAATGCAAGAACTTTACGCGCAAAAGACAATCTAGTGATAGGTGAGTGATAACGATATTGTCACCCTATAAATACAGGGTGCGGCAGAGAGGATGGACGGTTTTAAAAAAATCATAAAATAGTTAATTTTTACTCGAAAACAAATTTATTGATGGAATCAGGTTCACAAGGAAATAGCATTTGAGACAGTCAAGTGTGGAAAATCACATCAGGCCGAAATCGTTGATGCAGTGCTGTAGGCGTTCTTGGAAGTTCGCGTAGACTCTCTCCAACATCGCTCTCTCAACTTGGGCGACTTCCACGCGAATTTCGCCCTTCAACTCATCCAGAGTTCGGGGCTTGTTCTAGCGTGGAGGTGTCGCCATAAGAAAAAATCGCATATGGATAAATCTGGAGACCGAGGAGGCCAATGAACATCGCCAAACCTGGAAATAAGGCGACCAGGGAAGAGAATAACGTCCATGGATGCTCGGGCTGTGTGGGCGGTCGCCCCATCCTGCTGGAACCACACACGTCGGATTGGAACACGTCGCCGTCGTAATTCGGGGAGAAAGAAGTTGGTTCACGGTAACATCACGACCATTACCGTCTTCGAAGTTCATTCGTTGTGCATAATCTCCGGGCTGTAACTGTTGCACAATGGCCAATTTGTAGGGATGAAAGCGGAGATCCATATGCAAAATTCGCCTTACCGAACGATCAATAAGGCGAAGTGCAGCAGCATGTTTCCGGGCAGATCGAGTCGGACTGTGAAGAAAGACCTGTCGAACGCGTTCAACATTTTCAGGAGTTCGAACTGTTCGCGGCGCTCCTCTTGGTCTTCTGTTGATCAGTTCACCACGCCTGCGAAGTGATTCAACCCAACGAAGGATCGTGTTTCGAGAGGGAACAGCTCTATTCCGATGAATGTTGAAGTGGTGACGAAACTCACGCTGTACGACGATGACTGACTCATTATTTCGGACGAAACAATCATAGGCGAAAACGCGGTGCTCCACAGTCCAAGGCTCCATAACGACAACTTTTAAAATAATGCTAGGATCTCACGAGTCAAACGGCGCCCTCACCACCTCTCTCGTAAACGGTGGCGGAGAGTACTACCCATCCCAAAAACGTCCGTCCTCTCTGCCGCACTCTGTACAAGATGTAGCTCTAAGAAGACTTTATTGTGTAATTAGGTTAAAAAAGGTGTTGTGGTTTATGTGCAGATATTCTTTGTTAATATGTAAAATAATTGTTGCCATACTGAATTTTTTAAATCCGGCACTTCCTGCGGACTTATGGCTATCAGAATATTTGAATGATCTTGTTATTATTTTGTGGATCAGCGAACTTCTATTATTCGAAATGGAAAAACATGTTGTGAAAACTTGTTCTGTTGCATAAATGGATTGGAACATTCGGTGTTCAATGTTTCTGCTGATAAACCATACATCTTCTATTCGGACTGTATTTACGAATACATAGTTTAGTTTGTACAGATGCGGAAGCAAATAGCATTTTATTATTATATTTAAATATGTCTTATCTTATTTTTACAAAAAAATCTTCTTATCCCGGTGTTTGTTGTGTGCTTTCAATTTCTTCGGATATTTGGGGCAAGTCAACAAGTGTCAAAAAATGTCTTACATCAAATTGCCAACGTTTCGACGTTTATTATACGCCTTGCTCAGGGCTACAAAAAATGTGAAAAAAGTACAAATAAAAATACAGAATTGTAAATATATCGATGAAGTGAAAAAGTCGGTTGAAAAAATTCACTAAGAAAACCCACAAGTACTATAGAACGATAACAACAAAGGTGGGTATATATTAAAAGTTGTATGATAATTCAGAATTTAAAAACTTTCCTTTGAAGTGGGACTTTACAAAGAAACATATTAAGAACTAGATTAGGTCAAATATATATTTTTAGCACGTGTTCATTTATCCTAAGAATCCTATGTAATAACTAAAACGAATCATTAATACAGGGTGTCCGCAAAGTTGGGGTTTTCCTTTTCAGAAACAACTACCCTTGAAATAACAAAGGTAATGTGTAGTGAAACGAGGGCGACCAAGTAAAAAAAAATAAAGGAAAAAGTACTCACTCTCCAGTTGACGAGAAGGGCTAAGTATGTCTCTGCCCGAAATCATACCGCTCCAACAGAAAATGAAATCAGCTGATGCGCTACCGAGCGGACGCCGGCGGTGGTGCAGACCACGAATAGAGGTAACAAATATGACCATCGTGCAGAAACCACATTGATTGTCTTACACTTAATGGCACATCTTCTAACAAGGAAGGCAAAATGTTGCGTAAAAAGTCTAGGTATTGCATCCCGTCCAATCGATTTGGGAGAATAAATGGTCCAATGAGCATACCGTTCAGCATGCCAGCCCAAACATTCACCGAAAATGTTTGTTGAAAATGTGCCCGACGGACAGCGTGCGGATTTTCTACTGACCAAACATGAGTGTTGCGAAAGTTATTCACCCCATTACGCGTGAACGTAGATTCGTCTGTCACCAATATGCACTTCAAAAAGTCCGGATTATTGTCATGTTGATGCAACAACCACTCACAAAACCGCACTCTTGCTGGAAAATCGTCAGGTTGAAGGGCTTGTACACGTTGGACGTGAAACGGATACAGCCCCTCTTCACGCAGCGTTTGCCACACTAGTTTTTGATACTTGCACTTCTCTAGCCATGTCTCTAGTGCTTGTTGAGGGATTCTCGTCTACGCGATTACCTCTACACGCGTGACCGTAACCGTCGGTTGAAGGTTGCATACTGACCTGACACACTGACCCCGACCCAGTTCTGTCGTCGGGTTGAGCTAGTGTCCTAGTACCATTCGGGGATGTCGCGGCTACAGGACGGTATTCAGATATTTTTGATGTTGCAGAACCCTTTATCTCGGTTCCCTTAAGACATTGGTGTATATGGTACTAAGAAAAATTGCTTATGTTTTCAAGATCTACACGTCGTGTAAAGGAAAACCCCAACTTTGCGGACACCCTGTATATTCAGAAATGCTGTATGGTTCCAGCTGAACTAAAGCCCTTTCCAAGTTTTCTTTAAGGTTCCTGTGCCTTCAGATGCTTTGAAATGATTAGGTAGTTTATCATACAACTTTGCGCTGATATACAATTGTTTTTTTCAGTTACTATCAGCCTACGCTGAGGCAACAAAACATTTAGAGCTCTTGCACCGTACGTGTGATCATTTTGCGTGGGAAACATAACACATTTAAAAATTCAAAGCGAATATACTGTCAATAAACACATAGTCTTAAATACGCCTCTACATCTTTCTTTAAATTCCATAAGTCTCATAGCTCTTATGGTCATTTTTGGAACAACAAATAGTTTTTGCCTCCTAGAGTATTACGAGTATTCCATAACGTGAAATCGATATCACATTGATAACACAAAGCAGTTTTATTTATGTGTGGAGTCCAAGACAGAAATTCATCAAAAAGTACTCCTAACGATTTAGTTTGCTGACTTACTCGGTTATCACTATCAGCAGGTGTGATCTACAGGGTGTTGGGGAAATAATATTCGTAACTTTAAGAGGTGATTCCTTGCATTATTCTAAGTAAAAAAGTTCATTATAACTCATGTCGGAAAATCAATCGTTTTCTAGGAAAGTGAGTGGTAAATAATTAAATTTTCTCAAACATTTGGCAACGCTGTAACGCAACCGCGATACGATCGCCCGACGACCGTAACTGATTCATCGAATTGTTTACGCTTGTATGATATTTTTTTGCTGCGATACGGTTGATTTTTGGACATAGGTTATGATGAACTTTTTTGCTCAGAATAATGCAAAGAATCGCCTCTTGAACTTACGACTATTATTTCCCTAACACCCTGTATATCTGTAATTGCTTTGTTTCAATAATCCAAAGAAATTGACAGCACACAATTTTATTTTAACGCAACGGCAGCAATATGGTTTTATCAACGGCTGCTGAGAATTATGATTTGTCATCAATGTCACAGGTAACAGTGATTGCAGTTTTACTTGTTGCCTGCGAATTTCAATTAGATGTCGAGATTACGCTTTATTTCAATTGCATTGTATTTAGAAGTATCACGTTAATACGCATGTTTAGTTCAAAAAAGTCATTTAATACGATAACAGGAATTCAAGGTTTTTTCGGACACGCTACACCAATTCTCCTTAATATTCTTCCGCATACTTTATTTATACTCATATGTCATTCATAAGTATTACGTGTAACATATAATTATTATCATATTGGTAAATAAAACATTTTCAATGAATCTGTGTCACATTTTTTAACTGACTTCAATTTTCCAGGAATATAGGGATTCATACAGGTAGGATATGAATTTTATAAAAAAATATCCAGGCGGAATGGACTAGTCACAGCATATCTATAAAAACATCAGGAAGAGAGACCGGAAAAATCCACTGGCTTATAGGCCTAATTGGTTCTAAAGTCATTCTGATTTTATCTAACGCAGCTTATTTGGCGTTTCTGTCTTCATATACTAAGTGACATATAAATCCGAACACCCAGTTTAAATGGTTTTATTTTAATAAAAGTTGGTGAATGTATTTATCTTACTGTAAATAACAAGTGAAAAAATTTTCAGCCTTATCAGTTGGACATTCCGGTTTTTATACTGCTTTTTTTAATTTACTAACGTGTACACTGTGGTTAGGTGTTGTCAGGCATGGCTTCGAGAAGGCCGTACGCAAAGAGCAAGGGGCACTGGACGCCGCCGTAGAACAACATACCGTGAAGATCGCCGCCTGAGATTATTGGCCTTAAGGGACCGTTTCTCCACTACCAGGTCCATTGCAAATGAATGGTTTGCAGAACACGGAAGACCTATTAGCATGCGAAGTGTTTACCGACGAATGAGAAGTTTTGGCTTGTTTTCATACCGGCCACACTGGGTCCTCCCTTTAACTCGAGAACACCGACGTAATCGCCTTGAGTGGTGCAGACAATGGTCACTCTGGGATCAGGAATGGAACAGTATTGTCTTTAGTGACGAGTCTCGATTTTGTTTAGGCATGCACGATGGTCGTGCCAGGGTTAGAAGGCGACGTGGTGAAAGGAGGAATCCACAGTTTTTTGTTGAAAGACATGTTCATCACACTGTTGGAGTTATGGTTTGGGGTGCTATAGCTTATGGTTCCAGGTCACCTTTAATCTTCATCAGAGGTAACATGAACGCGCAGCGTTATATCCACGAAGTTATAGAACCCCATCTTTTACTCTATCTTGACACCCTGGCAGATCCAACTTTCCAACAAGATAATGCCCGACCACATGTTGCAAGAGTCACAA